GGGCCACCATCCCCAAGTGCAGGCAGAGCCAGCAGCCCCTGTGCCCCGTGAACCCGAGGACGGTCCCGTGACCTCTGTCTCACCTAAGTCTCTGAATATAGCTCACAAATAAATACTTTTATTTCTAAAAAAGGCACAGAAATTCTCTTAAACTGCTGGGCACTATAGATTTTCACAAACATTAGTCAAACAGGAGGAAATAGTGCATTTGTTGGGGACTATTTTCAGAGGTGCAGCAGGTCAGTGTGTGTGGGTGTGTGTGGGACCTAGTGAAATAGTGCACTCTGATTTTTAGACAATGGGCCTCTAGCACAGAGGATTATCAGGCTTTGGATACGCACTCACACTACTTTTAGTGGGGTCAATTCATCATTTGTGGAATTTGTTCACAAACATATTAAATTTCCAGTGTCCTTTAAACCTATACTAAAGACTCCTATAAGGACATTGTCTTATTTCTCCAGTAAACCACGAAGTGGTTGTAATGAGTGATGGCAAGCACGTTTAATCTTTTAGGAAGAAGAAGTAAACATCATTTTTCTTACAAATAAAATGATGAATTAATGATACACATTAGTGAGTCAGCTTTCTAACTTGATGACTCTTCTCTACGTGTGATACTGTTAGTATGTTTTATGTTATCATTTGCAACCACAGGTGTCACTGTTCAGCAAGTATCAGATGAGCAAACATTGTATTATGGGAACTGTAGAATCCAACATACTTGGAGCTTGACGCCCAGGGACAAACACAAAGGATATGTCATTCTTACCTTTCTTTTTTTTATCCCTCTCATGCTTTTTTATCCCTCTTCCAACTTCAGGGAAGTGCAATACTAAATTGCTAGAGAGCCACAATAAACCACTTCAAGTCATTTTAAACCACCCCTCACCAACTACTAGGACTCCTACTCACCATATGAGATGTACAAACAAAAGAAAGGTTGTTGTACAGCTGCTCAGTGGCCAGCAACATCGGCAGGACCAGGTGCAGTGGGCGAGTGAGGACGCAACTACCTGAATGTGAAGTAGGGCAGTGCTAAAAAAGGAGCATGCACAATCAGCAAAAGCCCTCTGTGGAAAAATACAAGGACAAAAAAACACACTGACTCTCTCTTCTCCCTAATTTCTAGTTCACATCTTTTGGCTTCCTCACATTTGCTCCAGAGTTCTGCTGCACAAAGCTTGATTGACACATCACTGACTTCTCTGCACCACGTGACAATCACGGCTTTCATATGGCTCCATTATTAGCTCTTAGAATGAGTTGCCCCACACCCACTGGGCTTCAGGAAGGAGCCAGAGCTCTATAAAAGATGAGACATGTTTAACTGTCATCTTAACAGACAGGCGCAGGGATTATGAAGGGTCGGTGGCATTTCTCAAAATGCTTTGTGTAGCTATTTTCTATTATCTTAATTGTTTCCCCAACATCTGCCTACCTCCTCCCTTTACAAAGTGTTTATTAATTAGGGAGTGATGTATGCGCATGCCTGTTTGTGTGTATGTGCCAGCAGAAATGTGCCGAAGTTAAAACACAAATGGGTAGGTGATAAGTGGACAGCGGTGGTCAGTATGCACATGTAATGTGCTTGGGGATCTGCTTAGGAGGAAAGGAAGTAAATAGTTTGTGTTGCAGTTTTCAGTGGTGAAAGGAGGAAGGTGGGGTGTTGAAAAGACAGAGAGAAAAAACTGTTGTTTTGGGAGTGTGACAAAAAGTTAGTAAAAAATAGAAGTAAGACAACGAGAGAAAAGAATGAAGAAGTAGGGAAGATTAGTGGATGCAAGGTGTTTAGTTGTCATTGAAGAACAGAAAGTGCAGGTGGGGTGAGGTAGCAGTTTATGTGTGTGCATGTGTGGGTGCAGTACATGAGCTTGAGTGAGCATGCTGATACATTTGATTAATACTGTGAATTCATGTTTTTAATAACTGTTCAATAGGTGCCTGCCTTTGTTTTTGTCCGTGTGCTCCTTAAGTTCTGCACCTGCTAGCACCCAACAGGAATGCTGGGAATTCTATCTCTGTCTCCCAGTACTCAGAAAAAATATTTGGAGCTACCAGGTGCACACACAGCCCAGTAAATGCATTACATGTGATTGTAATGTTGGATTCAAACAACATGGACAATTTGTTGCAAGACCTCCTCCTACACACACACACACACACACACACACACACACACACACACACACACACACACTCACAACTTCTACATTCAACACTTTTACTCCGACACACTGAGGTTTGCAGAGACATGAATATACATTTAACTGAAACATGAATAACTAGAGTGAGTGGAATGGCATGATGAAGGAGAGCGTAGTGCCCCCCCCCCCCCCCCCCCCCGTAGTTAAACAGCATTCAGCATAACTTATGCAACTGCCAATCATTCCAAATGAAAAGTACAAATTAAACTCTCACGCTCAAATACATAATTAGACCTCTGACTTGGCAGTGGAGCGTGAACGATTGAGGGCGGAGAGATGAGTGCCCATGCAGGTTGTTTTTTGTTTGTTTCGTGGGTACACACACAATTTTATTACACCATGCTGGAGAGTGTCACAGGGCAGAAATAAAACTGTAATTTCCTAAATGTATATGTTGTGTTTTCAAAAGCCACTTGCAACCACTCCTTTCTATATCTTTCCAATCAGGGTTTCATACACACAGGATTCACTCACATTTTACATACATTTTACATGAGTTTTAAAATAGACATTTTTACAATATGAAATATTTTTACAATATATAATATTGTTCATTTTGAATTGTGAGAACTGAATGTGAAAGTATAGAGAGAGTTGAATTTTTAGTGAGGATCAAATACAGTTTCAGAGCAACTGAATTCAGTTTCATAATATTACATTCAGTTCCAAGTTAATTAGAATTCCCTTCCATAAAACAATCAATTTCAAATTATGCTATTCAGATTCAGTTTCTTTATACAATTATTCACATATAAATTATTCAAATTCAGTTGCTAGTGATAAATATTTCTACCCATAGAAACAGTAAAAGACAACCTTGACTTGAGTTTCGACTCACGTGTTTGCTTCATCTTTTGCTACTTTCCCAGTGTTTCTGTCTCAGCCTCTCTGATGAGTGACGCAATCCCAATCCCTGACTGTGAGGCAATAGACTGACTGCTGATGTGGTTAGACTTGTTGTTGTGGTGCAGACAGATTGAAGCATCATGAGGCAGTTGCTGTAGGGACCTGTGGCACACAATGTTGCATACAAGTGTTTTTCCACTTACTGTCAGAAAATAAATTAGGAAATTAACTTGGCGAGTAAGTTTTCACATTCAAAGATTTATCCAACATCTATCCGTTTCTGTTAATGTCTGTTAATTCAGGTCCAACTCGCAGTGGTAGCAAGGTGTCTTCTACCAGTTGGACATGTTCAGAATATATTCAGAGAAAGGCATGTAGGGGGCATCTCAATTAAATGCTTGGACCACTTCCACTGGCTGAAGCTCCCTCTTCACCACACCACCCAGGCACAACCAAACCGCCAGAAACAGTGCTTGTTGTGAGGCAATTTTGGCTTAATGACCACACAGAATACATTTTAAAATGTTTTGAAACACAGTGTCAACCCCCATCTCACCCCACCCCCCATGTGAGCGAAGAGCAAACAGGAGTCTCTAGTGTGCATGCTCTCAAGTGGCTCATTACATTACATTACATTTATTTAGCTGATGCTTTTATCCAAAGCAACTTACAGTAGGTGCATTAATCCATGTGGATATAATCCAGAAATTGCAAGAAGCATGCAAGTATAACTAGAACTGCTTAGAAACAATAAGAGACAGAGATTTTTAATTAGCTAAGGTGCAGTGTGAACAAATGAGATCAGACTGCACCTTGTGTCTGCAACAAAAGATATGTAGGGTTTCTGCTGTCCTTACGTCACTGGGGAGCTTGTACCATCATTGTGGTGCCAGGATGCATCAGTCACGTTGTAGCTGGGCCCCACATAGTAAGGGAGTTGTAAGCAGTCGATTGGCCGTAGCAGAGCATTGTGGACCGGGCAGGGGTGTTCAGTTTGACCATGTCCTGGATGTAGGATGGGCCTCAGCCATTTGCAGCATGGTAGGCAAGTACCAGTGTATTGAATGGAATTCAAGCACCCTCCGGTAGCCAGTGCAGAATGGAGTGTTGTAGTGTCGGAGAACTTAGGTTATGTTGGAGACCAGCCATGCTGTTGCATTCTAGATGAGCTGCAGGGCTCGGATGGCACATGCAGGCAGACCAGCTAGGAATAGTAGTCTAGGCTCAAGCACCCTGGGTGAGGAACAGACATATCCTTCTGATGTTGTGGAGGATGACTATTCAGGAGTGGAATGTCGCAGTGATGTTGGCTGTGAAGGACAGCTGGTCATCCTTATCGTATTGTCGAGGCTGAGCTTCAGGTTGTGAGCAGACATCTACTGAGAGACGTCAACCAGACACGCAGAGATTTTTCTGCTGCCTGGGTTTCAGACTAGGGAAAAGCCAGAATTAGGTGAGTGTCATCTGCATAGCTGTAGTAGGAAGAGCCATGTGAGTGAATACAGACTATAGTGCACATCCCCTTTGGATGAAGTGTTTTCTGGGTATTCGCTTAGTGAGCAACTTTCATAGGAATAAATGGGGCACCAGTTTTGCACTCAATATCTAATTCTCCTTTATACATCCATGAGTACCACATGCTAAAATATTATGATTTATCTGAACACCATATGGCAAGCAGTTGTTGAAATATCATCAAAACATACTACATTACATGAAATCACTGAAAATGCAGTTAATCATTTAATATGCTATAAATCAACAATTCTAAGAGTAGCATTGATCCCTTTGTGTCAAATGGTGTAGAATATCCTAAAAGCCACTTTCAATTGTGTTATGTAAAGTGAAAAGGGAAAAAAGGGAAATATGTATCATTTTTTAAAATACAAAGATACATTTAAAACACGGTTTCTAACGCTGACAATATTATCTTGTCTATTTCTGTAGCAGAGTGGATCTGTGTGAATAGCAAACCACTGCCTTGGAACCAGAAGCCCTGGAGAAAATTGAGAGCTGATTAGAGAAAGGCGGCTTGTCTCCAATCAAGCCCAGAGTCTTGTCTGTTTGCTGGGAGTACATCCACAGAGCTCTTCACACTGACCCGGAGGGGAGAGGGGTCAATATCTTTTTGCAACTGGTAAAGCCAAAGCCAGTTAAAAAGTGAATGTAGATTTTACTGAGAAAGGATTCTAAGCTAAGCCAGCTGCCTGTAGGATCAAATTGTAATTGCAAATTAGTCTTTACCTTTGTTTTACCAGGTTTAGAAAGTCTGTTAAATTCACATAATATTATATACTTTTCTGTGATTGACAGCTTACTTTGAAAAAGTGATGTGACCTGATGAGACCTCAGCCATCTTCTAAAGTGAGTAGAAGAAAAAGAATTACTCATAAATACTACATGACCATGCCAAGAAAGACAAATATATTCTAATCATATACAGCACACTAAAGATTCATAGATTTCATTCTTTAAGATTTAATTGAGGTTGTAGAAGGTTGATGTAAGTGGATCACTGAGTGGGAACTTCTGAATTTGGCTTCAAATTAAATAATGGTCAATGGTTGAATTAGATATGAATCTTGTATGACTATACTGTACTGGTGGAGGGCTATGGTTTCATAGCATTTTATTCTGCAAGTCCCGTAAAGGCTTTGGAAAACATCACACCAATACAGATTATACTTTGTCCCAGACGGTGTCCCTTCCAGAAAAAATGACATTGTTAGCTTATTCACTAATACTTACGACCTTTATCTGTATGCTATGAAAGTTAACATGAAGACAGGTAGCAGGGGGAAGTAGTAGTTATTGCATTTTGAACAGATTAAAACAAATGGGATACATTGTCTTAATCAATAAGCTGAAGAGGTGTTAGTGGGCAGATATGTTCTGGACAGAGCCAGGTTTCCCCCCAGTTTTGAGACTTTCTGTTCTAAACTAAGCTAACCAGCTGCTAGCAATAGCTTCTTATTTTCCTATTTTTTAAACTTTCATTTTGAAAAGCAACTTCTTTCAACTGCAATTGATTAAAGAGGTGGTATTCTGCTCATTTTCAGGTTCAAAATCTTATTTAGGGGTTGTACCAGAACAGGTTTACGTGGTTTGATTTTCAAAAAACACCATATTTTTGTCATACTGCACATGCGTTTTACCTATGGAGTGATACATCTTGTTTCTGCATGATCTTTGCACATGCGCAGTTCTTAGTTAAGGACTACTAGACAATCAGAAGCAGAGAAGGGCAGGTCACTGAGAGGCCGGTAAATACGGCTTTGGTTGAGCTGTATATCCTCTTACAATCTTAAGTAACATGAACTGGAGCAAGAGTTTCAGAGTGGTGAGTTATTAATCTGTAACAAATGTAATGCAAACTAACTACTAATGCAACTTTATGTCCATTTATTGCCTTCAATTCAATTGAATTCAATTTTACCTGGAGGGTAGCTAGTGTTTGGAAGGGAGAGGAGTGTGCTGCAGCTTAGTGTTTTTCCACCGGTCTTTTTGAAGGCGTGTCGGACTATGGGAGCATCCCTGTGACGACACAGTCGGACAGGGAAATGGCTGGACTTTTTCACTTTGCAAACCTATTTCATGCACAAAAAAGATATATAACTCAATAAAGGAGAGGGAAAAAGACAAAAGGCATAATACCACCCCTTTAATCTTTCTTCATTTCTAAATTTTCACAAGGGCACTACCTTTTTTACAAGGATAAGTCTGCTGATATTTTAAATTTAAATCTAAGGGTAACTGTATTTAATATATACGTATTGCCTGTATAGGTTATTTTGACATGATCCCATATATTCTGTACTGCTGCCAAAAATACCCGCGAGATCATGAAATGTGTTTAAATCATCTGCTGAAATTGTCCCCAAATCATCTGTTGAAATTGTCTACAAATGCAGTATTTCCTCCTGTTTGCGTAACATTTGTATAAAATCACAGTGGCTAGATTTGCTGACACTAAGACAAAGTCTAGACTAGATTAAGATGGACTAATATCTCAAATTCATTACTGTATGCTAATTCATGCTGCGGTCAGTCATGCACTAACCCTCCCACACAGGGTAAACATCCACTACAAACCCACACAGAAAACAAACAGGGTTTGAGATGCTGAGAGATTAAGACTCATCCTGTTCAAAGGTGCATGCCACAGGTACACACAAATATCAAGCCACAAGTTGTACATCAAAAAGTGAGCACGTACGCATACACAGACGCACACACTTCACACACAGTCACAGATCAGAAGTGAGTGTGCAAGCTCAGAGGCACTGGGAAATGCAGCCCTAAGACACATTAATACACACAAATGTTCACATACACACACAGGCTTGGCTTTATTTTGGCATGCTGCTCTGCGGTGAGCTGTGTGAGGGTTTAGAGGGATTGGACGGTGTTGACTTTGCCATGAACCTGCAGAGCCTCTGCACTCTCACAGCTGCCTCCCTCATCATTTGCGGAGGGCCTCCAATCACTGTGGAAAATCAGGGCAGGGAAGGGCAGAAGATATATCACTGCGTCCCTCCTCCTCCTCCATTCCTCTCCGGCCCTTCCTCCATCTCCCTTTATAATGCACTCTCCAACTGTGAGAGAAGGTTTTATTGCCTCTTGTTCAAGGAGGTTGTCATAACTCACATTTCTTTGAGTTTATCTAATATTCCAATTATACAGCTGCATATTTGACGACCCCAATTTTAAGAGCACTTCTCAAGGGCGCAACTGCAGCTCAGGCATTCAGCTAGCAGACTACAGCAGTTTGGCTGACAGTTCTGTCATATCATGGTCTCCCACTGGATTACAAATACTCGGCCTTCTCAACAATGGAAAAATTCTAACATTTTCCACCTGAGGTATTTTTACAAAAAGTACGGTAGTTGAGCTGATTGTGTCGAAACCAGCCAGGCAGTAACGGAAAGTTTAGTCCAACACCGTTGTGATGTTGAAAAGACATTTTAACATTGCTCAGAATCACTTGCAGGCTTGCAGTCTGCACTGTTTTCTGAAATCATGGGTTACATCATATTGTCATGCTGCAAAATGACTCTTACTTCCTCTTTGTCCCTTTTCTTTTCACTCTTTGGGCCTGTATTTATCGAGCCTATAAAACTCCCTCCAAGGTATTGCAAGTTGACCAACACCGCTACCTCAGAATAGGACATAGGAGTTATTTATGACACTCGGTAATGAGATGACTCCTGGAAGAATGTGATGTATAAGCCACAAGGCAGAAATTATGGTGAATTATTCTGCTTTGTCTGACAGTTGCGGTTTAAAACTGCACTAATAAGTGTTTTCATATGAACATTGGATGAAAAGTGTAATGGTCAATAGTAGCCACATGTATTCAGAGAATTGCCACCCAACTCAGCTCTATACACCATCTAGCATCTTTTGGCTCGTTGATTTGTTTAAAGGGCTGCAACCTAACTTGTTTTTTAGAAATGTACAACAACTGAGCTTTTTCTTCCTATGGACTTGGTGTAGACCAAAATAGAGCCCAAAGACAAGTAGTTATTAGACTCCAAATGAATGCTAATATTGCTCTGTGTCTGCTGGATGTGTTTAGGCAACAGTTTGCTAATGTTACTGGCTAAAAATAGCACTGTAAAAAGTATATGTTTAGACAAATAACCTTAGTTACTAGTTCATCTAGGTCGTGTATGAGTACATATAATGTCAAAATTAATAGTTTAAATTTCGTGATGTCATTTACTAATACACTATTTATTTTAACACTGACCAGCAACTCACATGGCTTAAAAAAGAAATGTACATTTACATACTTTTGAAAATAGTAAGTAATTTGACTCTTATCAGCTGTGTAATGATAATATCAAAGTCAGCCTTGTCTTATAATGTATTGTACAGGCACACACTGCAATGATATTGCAAAGCCTATGTAGGTGAAATAACTTCTATAATTATTCAGTCTTGGCAAACACACAGTAACAATGTGTCTTTAATCTAAAAGTCCCACTTTAATTTGAATAATTACAATTAAATTAAATATCCAAAGATTAGATTTTTCTATTGTTATTAAGTTGAGCCTTTGGCCTGCAAAAAGCAGTTAATGGCCTGCACCTTTTTTAGATATCCTTAATTACCAATAAGCATTTGATGTCCATCCAAGGGTTACTCTAGATGTGCTTTATTTGGTAATGTAACAAATTTTCTTCTCTGTCCCAAACAAAGTTATTCATAAACATTGTTTTTTTTGTTGTCCAAAAGGGGTCTCGTACAAATCTCAATGTCATCATTTGTTCCCAAAACATCTTCCTTCCAACAGACCTTTCTCTGCCTGAATGCCATAGTGACACATAGTGACACAGTTTAGGGTATCAGCTGAGATAAGACTAATGTCCCGAAACTAATGTTCAGAAAGATGATAACATTATTTTACTCAATAAAAGTAAGAATTTCTGGCCACTTAAGAATTAATTTGTACAAGATGCTTGAACCTTGAGAAAGATGACAAGCTTTTCTCTTCTTACTTTCTCTGTGTCAATTTCACTTTTACTATGTATTTTTTGTGTTTCCATTGTTCCAATTCATTGGGATAGAGAGCCACTGCACAACTTGGATTGTTCTTCCTTGTCCTTTACGTCTATTTCAAGTAGTGGCTTTCATCTCTGTCTCTTCCCAGATGTTAGCTCCAGGCTCGCGGTCTGGAGCTGAGAGCTCTGCTGAGGTTGAGGAGTCGAGAAGTGATTAGACAAAGACTGGTGGAGGTTAGAAAGCAAACCAGCCCACAAGCAATGTTTTTATCTGCCTCTGAGTATAACTGCAAATGACACGGCTGCATTGTTTGTACGGCAGTTGCGTTATTTGTTGTAATTGTCACATGGCAATATATGCACCATGTCACCATGTGGTTTATAGTTGTTTGATTGACTTTATAACAAGAAATATTAACAGTAATTTTAAACAGAGGATCTGACCTAAGTGACCCCTTGGGCCCCAGGCCTGTGCATGATACAGTAGGTCCATTATATGTAAAAGTCCTGCACTCCAACTTTAAGTAAAAGCACACACGTTCTGTTGTTTTGTATCCAAATTCTAACCATCATTGGCATATTAATTTGATTTCATAAGCAAGAGACCTGGCCTGTCTGTTAAACCTGTGGTAATCAAGCATGCCGAAGTGTTGAGGTATGAATTGATAAGAACAAAAAATCATCTACAGACCTGAACTGGAATTATGTGGTAGCTAACATGGCCAACAGCACTGGCCCTTTTCCAAAGACTAACCACTCATGGTATGTTTCCTCTAGTGTTTGGCATTGATACATGACCAGGTTTCCAGCCTGCAGTTACTGCCTCTCTAAAACAGAGGCTTAGGTCCGGCTAAGAAA